AAATATAATGTACAATGGATTCTGTTAATAATATGACATATTACATATTTTACAATAGATTAATGTTAACGGGAATTTTTCCATTTCAAATTTGTTATTATTATTTTTTTTATAATTTAAACCATTTTAAATAAATTTTGTTGAAATATACAAGTTTAATAATAATATTTGATACCTAAGTTCCGGCGGTATTCCTCTGACTCTTCGTACTAGTGACCGCTTCATTTAAAAACTTTTCTGTTTGTTGTGTTTTCCTCTCGACTGATTGTAAGTCCTATCCATTTGAGGCTTTCATTCTTAATAAATTTTATGTCCGGCTCTATAAAACTGATATACATGTTCCAAAATCTTTTATCTTTCACTCCTTCATAATTCCAGCGGTTGTTAATACCAGTGGTTAAATACGGTTAAATTTTAATATGTGCCTATTGTTTTTTTTCACATTTTTAGTTGATTCGTGCAAAACAAAGCAATATATATATATATATATATATATATATATATATATATATATATATATATATATATATATATATATATATGTATGAAACCTAGAGCTAAGATTAATACTATTACAAAAATTAATATTAAACTCACCAGTCTTCCGGTTTGAACCTAGTCCAACCTGGCGTCGAGATCCATTCGACCCAGCTTTCGACATCCTCTTTGCTGGCTTCCTCAGGGCTTCCGAGGTCTTAGTCTCCCGAACCCCCAGACACTACTACACTTGTTACTTCACTGTCATTACTACTACAGTAGTAGTATCTAGTTTTTTTCTAGATTTTAATGCTGAGGCTTTATTAGTATTATAAAAAATATATTTTAAATGTTTATGTATTTCATTCATCAGGAATTAAAAAAATAGGTCCAGATTTATTTGTAAACAACTAAAAAGAAAATATTGACTAGTATCGACTTAATACTATTACGATTTTAAAAAAATGAGAAGGGAAACATCCATGGTTTAATATAATTCTTGTAATATTTGTGTGATTGATTTGATTATAATTTAAAGGGAAAAAAAGTGAGATAAGAAATGTTTTTCGACAGAGTCGGATAAAGGGAATAGTAGTACCTGTTATGAAGATTAGTAATATTTTTATATAACCAATACTATTTGATCCGGCCTTCTTTTTTAACACCGCAATAAATAATAATTACTCTAACAGTATCACAAGCAATTTTATCTGCAAAATTTACTTCTTCATTTTCAATAATACCAGCACGCTCCTAACCCAAACAAGTCAACATTTTTTTGTCAACATTAAGCACTATTAAGGTTTTTGTTTAATTTTTAGTCAGACCTTACTTTTTAAAACCTTAATGGAAGTGTCTGAAATACTGATTTAAAATCTGACAACGTTTTTGGATTTATTTATTGGATTTTCAGTACCTCAGTCGAGAGCTTTATTTATAGATAAGACCTCTGTCATAAACATTGTGTAGATGTTTAATCATTGGTATTTCTTCACAAGATTTATGGCCTGAATTATTAATGCTGTGTACTTCTTCTTCGCATGCCATATCAGAATTATTCAACGTTGGCGATCAACATTGCGAAGGCTTCTCGATCTTCTGCAATATGGAATAATAATTGTCATGCATTTGATATCTGAGTAAATTCACGAATGTTTTTTAACCAAGAAAGTTGTTTTCTTTCTACACCTCTACGGCCCTCTATTTTTCCTTAAGTATCAGTTGCAATATTTTATATCGACTTTCCCTTACTATATGTCCCAGATGAGACATTTTTCGATGTTTAACAGTATTTAGCATTTCTCTATCTTTGTTGCCGCTCCCTAGTACTTCTTCATTAGTTTTCCTTGCTGTCCAAGGTATCTTCAGCATTCGTCTGTAAACCCACATTTCCAATGCTTCAATTTTGTTCATGATCGATACTTTTAACGTCCACACTTCTGCACTATAAAAAGTACATAACAAATATAGCACTTAACCATTCTTTGTCTTAGTTCTCAACTGAGATGGTTATTGCAAAGAAATGACTTCATTTTCATAAAAGTAGTTTTAGTGATTCTACGTTTTATTTCTATGCCTGGATCTAGTTGGTTCTTTATCACAGTTCCTAAATATGTCATTTTGTGAACTTTCTTAACTTGGACTCCATTTAATTGAAGCTTTGCATCGGGATGTGGGTCACGACTAACCACTAAAAATTTGAATTTGTTTGAGTTTATTTTAATGCTCATTTAATGCTCATTATTGAGGTAGGCATTAATACCTACCTCGTGAATACGATCAAGCAGAATTTGAAGACCTTCAATATTATCTGATATTACTGTATCGTCTGCATATCTAATCACATTAAGTAGTTTCCCGTTGATTTTTATTTCATATGGTTGTCTCTCAAGTGCCTTTATAAATAACTGGTCCAAGTTAATGCAACCTTGTCTGACTCCTCATGATATAGAGATTTCATTGGTGTAGTTATCTCCAATTTTTACGATAGAAGTTTGATTGCAGTACAAATTTCTAATTTTTTGTTTAATAAAACTCCAACAGGAATCTTATGACTATTGCTATCTGATCATTTTAACTATGATCAATAAGCAAGTTAGTTCTATATATAAATATTACAAGAAACTTATCTAAGGTTATATTCAGCAATATTCATTAGGCTTTAATACATTATAGTACTACTAGCTAAAGTGTACACTTTACTCTGCTTTTTCACTTTCACTCACTTATAGCACTAAATCAAACGGCTTCTTTCTCTTTAGTCTTCTTATCTGGTTGGCGTTGTCTAGGAGTTTGATGGCCTCGACGTTCACGTGGTTGGAGAGCCTTTGTTCATGACTCTCGGCAAACTTACTTATCGTCTGAATAACTGTATCCATCTGGAGGTCTCGATGAAGATCACAGTTTCTAAAGTACCATGGAGCGTTAACGATGTTCCTTAATACTTTATTCTGATATCGTTGTATATGTTGGATGTTGCTTTCGTTTGTACAGCCCCATAGCTGTATTCTGTATGTCCATATCGGTTTAAGGACCTGCTTATATAATAGCAATTTGTTGTAAATAGACAGAGTGGATTTTTTTCTCATTAACCAGTACATCTTTCTGAACTTAATTTCTAATTCCTCCTTTTCTTTTTCTTAACATGTGCTTTCCAACGTAGCTTGGAATCTAACGTCATACCCAAATATTTTGCCGTATTTGCATAAGGTATTTGGTTTCTATTTATATGTACTGGGATATGTTGTTCTCTTTTGTTAGTAAAATTGACATGAATAGATTTTGTTTCATTCAATTTGATACGCCATCGGCTGGTCCAGATGTTAATTTGTTCAACAGAGTTCTGTAGCATGGTAGTTGCATCCTCGTGGTTTTGTCCGACTGCTAGAATGCATGTGTCGCCTGCAAATGACGCAATTGTGTTAGGTTCTAATGATGGAATATCGCTGGTATAGAGCAGGTATAGCACTGGCCCCAGGACACTTCCTTGTGGAACTCCAGCTTTAACTTCTCTTAATTCTGAATATGCTTCCTCATATTTAACTCGAAAGTATCTGTCGGATATATATGATTCTAGTAGTTCACAATATTGTTTTGGTAAGTAGCATCTCGTTTTATGATATATTCCGTCATGCCACACCTTGTAAAAAGCCTGTGCTACATCGAGGAAAAATGCGGAACAAACTTTTTCTTCTTCTAGAGCTTTTTCTATGATATCTGTTATTCTATGCACCTGATCTATCGTTGAGTGGCTTGCTCTAAACCCAAACTGATAACTAGGAATTAGATTTTTTTCCTCTATAATCGGTTTTAGTCTCTTCAAGAGTAATTTTTCGTATAATTTAGACATGACAGGTAACAGTGAAATAGACCTACAAATTTCTAATGACACGAATATCCTTGTCACCTATTCCGATATTTTTCAGTATTTGTATTAATTTTACATGCTGTACTTTATCGAATGCCTTTTCAAAGTCCACGAAACATGAAAATACATATTTTCTTTGGTCACGGCATTTTTGTAATATGATGTTAAGCGCAAAAAGTGACTCCCTGGTTACCATAGCATTTCTAAAACCAAATTGGGTATCTTCAAGATCTTCGCATTTGCGTCTAATTCTGTTGTGAAATATTCTTATTAAAATTTTAAGAGTGTGGATCATTAGGCTAATTAATCGATATTCTGAGCATTTTTGCTTATTTTGTTTTTTATGTATTGCGACAAAGATGGATTTGAGAAAATCTGTAAGAATCACTCCGGGGTTATATATTGAATTGATAAGACTTACTACTACTTCTATGTTACCATTCTCTATTAGTTTTAGCAACTCAGTTGCAGAATGCAGTATACACTTTTTGTACAAGTGTGTATGTATGTATATATGAACATGAACGTATGTATAGATGTATAACACAGTTAGTTCTGTTGCTTAAGAAGGATTTGACAACTCCAAATGTAGAAAGGGAAAATAGAGTAATTAGTAAATATAATGTGTTGTTTATTTAACACACCTCCAGTTCGTATTAATATAATGAATACTTGTTAACTCTCTTTAATACATTTACTGTATTTATGGTAAATAAATTATTAGTCAGAAGGCATCAGTCAATGCTGGGGAAATCTTTATTTTCCAATTAGGAGTTTTTAAGTTGGCACAGCTAATGGTTGCCTTTTGTTTAACAAAAATATTTTGTATTATATAAACCATTCATTTCTCAAAAATTGCATCCGAGTAGATATCGGAGCTACTTGTGCTTCCGCTTTGGTAAATCCTGAGGTAAACCGTTGTTGGTCATATGAGAACCATCTACTACCTTTTTGATAATTATGAATATACACTTTTCCCTTCGTTAATAAAATGACCATGTTGGTTGAAGCTTTATAGCTTCTATAAGCTAATATCTATTATTCTTTTCTGAAGAATGTCCAGATTACAAAAGCAACAGTACCGCAACAGTGGGACTGAAGTTAAGAAAATAATTGCATAGGGCAGATCGGTGGAAAAACAATTAAATAATGTAATATGAAGGATGCAAGTGAGTTGAGTGACTAAAATTAGAATATTTGGGACGCAGCTTGGTAATAAGTAATGAGACTTTGCGACCATGACATTAAAATTAATTATATAATACAAAAAAATACTACTTTTTTATGGAAAATGGACTTTTGGGGTAGGTTGGTAGACTAAGAGAGAATGCCCAACAAACTGGCATAGCAAGTGGTAACTAGCAAGTAGCAGGCGTCTAGGATGTTATTTAAAATATAACCAATGAAAACAAATGGTTCAGCGTACACCAAAATGACAGTGACGTCATTTATTTTAGTCATTCGTTTGCATTGGTTATATTTTAAGTAGCATTCTAGATGCGTGCTATTTTCTACTTGCCACTTACCACGCCAATTTGGTTTGCGCTCTCACTAACATTAACACATTAAATAACATATTTAGAATTTACAAGATATCGTAACAAATAAAGATTGGCCGCTAGAAATGTTCAAGAAGAAAACGTCGAAATAGCGCTAGAAGCTAGGCGACTAGAAACGACTCTAATGTATTTAATCGTGGATATCTATATATGTCTTTATCCTTAAGCGGGGATAGCTTCCCTATTACATAGCTCCATAAGTTTTTATCTTGAGTCATAATCTAAGTATTCTCATTTCCGCCATATGTATTCGTTATTCCTCTTCTATTTTAACTGCATAACAGTCAGTTCCATAGCTGCTTTCATTGCCTTTTTATGGAATTTTGCCTTCAGCTTCAGTGGAATCTTTCTGTCACACAACGCACCACTCGCTTCCACTTCATCTATCCAATCGTAATACCGATCCTAGGTACTTATATTATTTTATTTGTAGTATCTCCACCTTTAAAAGAACGTATATGTATATATTTACTTAAATCCATATTTATGACTATTTGGTAGTTATTAGTAAGGTTCAGTCAAACAGCAACTAAAATGAAGCAGTACGGTGCTGATGACGACGAAATGGCCAGAAATACGTATTTACGGTTGCCTTTAATCTTACATACCTATTTTGTTTTTTTTTCCGTGTTGGCAGATATGCCAATCTTTATATATATATATATATATATATATATATATATATATATATATATATATATATATATCGTAGCCTATTTATTTTTGCTCTCTGGCGTTAGCCGGGTACATGTTGTATGGGAGACATTTTGGTAATCAGGCCCACTTCTCGATTTTTTCTGAAAATTCGTTTGAAACAAATTCTTATTGGATGGAAGAACTTAAGAGATATTTGGAGGATTCTCTTCCTTTGGTGTTATTTATGTTACTCTGATCGGTAAACATCTCTAGATATAAAGCTTAGTATTCAAACTCAACATATGCTGTTGAAAACATTGAGCTTCAAACTAAAAGTTTTTCAACACTTTTTCTTTATATCCAATTTTTAATATTAGAGGTCGAAAAATTCACAGTTGCTTTTCTTTTCAAAATATACACAAATTACTTGTTTATTGACATTTTACACTATTTTTGTAAAAAATTTCTCGATAATAATAAGATTGCGACATCCAAATAGCGACTCAGTTTTCGACTAAAAATAAATTCTATCTTAAACGATCTTAAAATAGGAGGTCTAAAGTTTTTATCAAATAGTATAAGCATATTACACCCGTTTAGCATCCCATGAATCTAACATTTCGATCTCTGAACAAGTCAATAATTTCATGGTTGGTCAACAGTCCAATATGGCAATAAATAGTTTCGTGAATTTCAAGTTCGTACGACATTTGAAACTTATTTAAATAAGTTTGGCCATTGTTTTAATATTCTTAGGTCGAAACCATTAAAGGATGTTGCTATTTCGATGTCATCTTTGTTAATTTGTTCTAATACTATTGAGGTTTTGATTTGACCGATGTTTTTTGCAATGGACGAAATTGTCAAATTTTGATTTTGAATTAAATTACGTATTCATCTGATAATATATTCTTCTATTTTTTATAACGAGTATAATACAGAACGCTCATAACAGTAAAAAGTAATTTTGAATCGCCACCGGTATATCGATGTAGGTGATCTAATTGAAGTTTATAATAATCGTAAAATTACATCGTCGTCCACGGTATAACATTTAACATTTTCAGGTTACATCAATGCGAGTTGCATAAACGCAATACGCAAAAAGACGAGTACTGACTCGTGGAAATCAAAGTGGGTTACTAGTAACAAAAGACATGCCTACTCAACTATTATATAATTTTTACCGAGTGAAAGTATTTTCATGAAACAATATGCAATTCAGCAGAATTCGCACTGTCTGGCCGACCTATATATCCAAGCTGGTCTGCACCAATAATCTGATAAATGGATTATTGTTATGCACTTGAGAATGAATGATCTAGAAAGAGAATTTGGAAGGATTTTTTAACGATGTATAGAAATTATTATTTATAATAATCGTTGTTATATATATATATATATATATATATATATATATATATATATATACAGTGGAGCCTCGATTATCCGTCAGGGCAACGGACCAAGGGTATGACGGATAATCGAAAAGACGGTTAACAGAACATTAAAAAAATTCATAGTATAACTCTTAATATACTATGGTATACTATTTGTATATTTATATTTGACAATATAAGAGGGATTTATGTTAGTACACTTGAATCAATTTGATTTAAATTATTCCGAAATCTGTGTTTGTTTTATTGTTTTTACCGAGAATATCATTTGATGAATTTTTGTATGTGCGATGTAGTTCCTCTAGCTTATTTACGCAAATCTTTGTGAGTTGTAATAGCATCATCAACGTCGCTGCCATCAAAGTTTCTGTCAACTTCTGAATCAGTTTTATCCGCCTATGTTACCATTTCAACGATTTCATCATCTGTCAACAATCGATAGCCGTTTTCGTCTTCATCACAAATTAACCATTTGTTTATGTCATCTTTAGGCAACGAAAACAAAACAATTGATTTAGCCATAACTTCATTTAAGGGTGGCATTTTCATCTTAAGTTGATTCAGGCCATAATTTATTCCACGCGCTTTTCAGCGTTACTTCCGAAACATCAGCCCAAGTATTCACAGCATTATCGACTACGTGTTTTAAATTGTACGCTTTCCAGTATTCTGGAAAAGAATATAACTCTTCCATAACTAGGTTTGGAATAAAGTTTTTCTGTATCTTCTTTTGAATGTTTTAATGACCGACTGATCCATTGGCTGTATCAATGATGTTGTATTCGCAGGCAGAATAGAGTACGTGATATTTTTATCGTCACTCCGCAGCATACCGGCTTTAGAATGGGCAAGTGGATTATTCAAAATGAGAATCTTCTTTGGTGGACAATTTTTTGCAAACAAAATGAATTGATAACTAAATTTTTACTTTGTTATGTTGTCAATATAACCTATGCATGTGTGGACCCTGACGGTTAACAGAGGTGACGGTTAATAGAGAGACGGATAATCGAGGTTCCACTGTATATATAAATAAATATATATATATATATATATATATATAAATATATATATATATATATATATATATATATATATATATATATATATATATATATATATATATATATGTCGTAGGCAAGTATGAAATGCAGGAGTCATTTTCGTAATGACTTGGCAGTTTGTATAACGTTCTCATTTTTACGAAATGACTTCACCCTTTAGGCATTTGTGAAACTACCGGCATTTGAGATGCTATGTTTTCTCTGTGTTTTTGTACGGGGCGGAGACATGGACGCTTACAGACGCCACTATTAAAAACATTGAAGCATTTGAGATGTGGCTTTATAGAAGAATGCTGAGAATATCATGGACAGCAAGGATCACGAACAAAGAAGTTCTAGGAAAAATGAAGAAGGAACCAGAGATTGTGTTTACGATCAAACGCATAAAATTGCAATATCTGGGGCACGTTATGAGAAATCAGCACCGTTACTCCCTGCTACAGTCTATATTGCAAGGTAAAGTCAAAGGTAAGCGAGGACCAGGTAGAAGGAGAATATCATGGCTGCGGAATTTAAGAACATGGTTTAATAAAATCTCAACGGAGCTGTTTCGAGCCGCAGCGAGCAAGGTTATGATTGCCAATATGATTTCCAACATCCGAAACGGATAGGAACCAGAAGAAGAAGAAGAAAATACCGGAAACGTTAATTCTATTTTGAAACAGTGTTGCAATTTAGGCCCAGATCATAAAATATATAAAAAAAATTTGTCCTAACATACTTTTTTAACCTTAGTTTTCCAATTTCCAAGATTACAACACATTACAGATTACCTACATGTTTACAAAAGTTTACATTTAATGCATTTACATAATGCTTGATTGAAATTTTTTTATTTGTTGCAGATGTAAATACCTTTAAAAAGCCATAAAATTTATGTCATTGTTCATAGAATTTTTCCCGATTAGCCATATCTAATATCTTACATAGACTGTAAATGTAAACTTTTCTAAACACTGCTGTAATCTGGAAATTGGAAAACTAGGGTTAGAGAATTAGATTAGTACAAAATTTTTTTTATATTATATGATCTGTTTGCAACTAATTGCAACCTTTATCTAGAATAGAAGTCTGTAATTATAAGTTTCGCTGATAAATCTATAAAACTAACAGATCCAGAATACAGACCAACTGCAATATAAAAAGCAAAAAATGCCCTTCTAAAGAATGCATATCCCGAACATCCAATCGAAACTATTTTTAAATCAAGACTCAATTAATTTTATAACAATACAACTAACAACAAACCCAACAGTATCGAAACCTCTTATACAACTCTTCCATATATAAAAGGTTTATCCAAACAACTAACAAATCTTTTAGCCAAACATAATATAACAGTAGCCCACAAAGGCAACAACCTCTTAAATAAATACTTCACAAAACTAAAAACACAAACTCCAAAACTTAAAAAATTACATGTTGTTTACGAGATACCATGTACAAACTGTAAAGGTGTCTATATCGGTCAAACCAGTCAACTGCTTCAATCCAGAATTCGTTCTCACAA